AAGAGAGATCATTCGGTATTTGTCTTTCTCTGATTGGCTTATTTCGCTCAACATAATACTCTTCAGATCCCTCCATGTCTTCTCAAAGGATAAGAGATCTTTCTTACAGCTACATAGTGTTCCATTATGTATATGTACCACAGCTTTTTTATCCACTCATCTATTGATGGACACTTGGACTGTTTCCAGATCTTAGCAGTTGTAAATCGGATGAACATAGGGGTACATATATTCTTTCTGATTGGTGTTTCAGGCTTCTTAGGATATATTTCTATAAGTGGGATCACTGGGTCAAATGGCAGTTCAATTTTTAATTTTTTGAGGAAATATCATATTGTTTTCCATAGTGGCTGCACCAGTCTGCATTCCCACCAGCAGTGTATTAGAGTCCCCTTTTGTCCACACCTTCACCAGCACTTGTTTGATGATTTATTGATGGCAGCCACTCTGACAGGTGTCAGGTGAGACCTCGCTGTTGTTTTAATTTGCATCTCTCTGATGATTAGTGACATTGAGCATTTTTTCATATGTGTCTTGGCCATTTGCATGTTCTGTTTGGAGAGGTGTCTATTTAGGTCCTCTGCCCATTTTTTAATTGGGTTCTTTGTCTTCCTTTTGTTGAGTTGTATGAGCACTCTATATATTTTGGAAATTAACCCCTTTTCTGATGTGTTGTTGTCAGTTATGCTCTCCCATATAGTGGGTTCCCTTTCCATTTTGATGGTTATTTCTTTTGCTGTGTAGCAGCTTTTTAGTTTGATGTAGTCCCAACATGGCTTGTTCTTTATATCCTTAGTTATAGGACTGTATTTATTGATTTTTGAGAGAGAGAGAGGAAGAGAGAAAGAGAGAGAGAGACATCGATCAGTGGCCTCCCATATACAGCCCAACTGGGGACCAAGACCACAACCTGGGCATGTACCCTGACCGGGAATTGAACTTCTACCTTTCAGTGCATGGGAGGATACTCAACCAACTGAGCCACACCAGCCCAAACTGTCCTGCTATTATTTTCTTTTTTTTTTTCTTTATTGATTTTTAGAGAGAGAGAAAGGGAGAGGGAGAAATAGAGACATCGATTAGAGAGAACACTGGCTGACCACCTCCTGCATGCCTCCCACTAGGGATCAGGCCCACAACCTGGGCTTGTGCCCTGACTGGGAATCAAACCGGCAACCCCTTGGTGCATGGGTCGATGCTAAACCACTCAGCCACACTGGCCCGGCTGTCCTGCTTTTCTTGTCAAAATGTATTTCAGGCCCTGGCCAGTTTGGCTCAGCGGCTAAGCATCGACCTGTGGACAAGAGAGTCCCGGGTTCGGTTCCCGCTAGGGGCATGTACCAAAAAAATAAATAAATAACAATAATGAAATACCCATGAAACCATGAGATAAAAGTTTAATGTGGAACTTTACGATTGCAGGGACAGGTTGTCACCACCTGAGCCCATTAATCAATCACAGCATTACTAAAATTGGGATGAGGAGCCACTGTGAATCTTCTGGTGTGATGCCAAAACACATCACTTCCTCTTTACCGAACCTCAATTTACAGAAAATATGGGAGAGAAAGGAACAAGTTAAATGACACCACAGAAAGCAGAAAAATCCACATTTTTACAGGACAACTGACCCAGTTTCTGCCATAAGGCAACGTCAGAAAAATAAAAAGGGCAGGGGAACTGCTCTAATATAAGAGACTTAGAAGTCATACAGGCAAATTTTATGTGTAGATTTTGTATGTATTCTGAGTTGTATGTATTTTGATGTTTTTTAGACAATCAAATTTGATCTGGGCTGAGTATTAGATAATAACAGGACCAGTTGATTTTGTCAGGAGTAAAAATGGTATTGTAGTTATATAAGAAACGTCTAGTTTCTTGGAGCTGTATTTGAGATATACAGGGGTAAAATGACATAAGGTCTGTAATTTGCTCTAAAGTGCTGCAGCAGAGGAAAACAGAACATGATAGACAAAGCAAATGTTACAGGGTCTTGATAATTGTTGAATCCATGTGATGGGATAGGGATTCCTTGTTTGTTTCATCTTTGAGAATGTCTGAATATTTCCATAAGGACAAATCCTAAAGAGATTTTAAAAAAGAGATAATGTGCCCAGGCAGTGTGGCTCAGTGGCTGAGCATCGACCCATGCATCAAGGGGTTGCTGGTTCAATTCCCCACCAGGGCACATACCCAGGTTGTGGGCCTGATCCCCAGTGGGGGGCATGCAGGAGACAGCCAGCTCTCTCATCAATGTTTCTGTCTCTCTCCTTCTCCCTTCCTCTCTTTCTAAAATCAATTTTTTAAAAATTTTTTAAAAAAGAGATATAATGTATGGGAGAGTGGTATAGGGATAAATAGTAGTTTCTCTTTTTTTCAATATCATATGTAAAAGGTTAGAAAATAAAAAAATAAGAGAAATCCCCTCTGGTGTTTAATTAAAAATACTCTCCTGGGACTTGTTCATTTAAGGAACCACCAAAATTACCCTCAGAGCATGGTATGTAGGCCACGCCCCACCAGGGATAAGGCTTCATAACACAGAAGAAAAACCTCAAATCAGCAACTTGGTCACAGACAAACTTAGCAGGATCAAATATCTCAGAAGTCCTTTTTTTTTTTTTAGAGAATTATTTTTTCAAGCTACTAAAAAGAAAATCCCCAAGGGGGCCGAAGGGCTGCAATTTTTGTGGCAGTTGTCAAGGTGAGAAACTTCCAAACATATAGAGAAGTTTTTATTTATTTTTTTAATCCTCACCCAAGGACATTTTTCATTTTTTGTTCAGATAGAGCGGGAGGAAGAGAGAGAGAGAAACATCAACATGAAAGGGACACATGGAGTGGCTCTCTTCCGCACAACCCAACCAGGGCCGGGTACAAACTGCAACCAAAGTACGTGCCCTTAGTGGGTACCAAACCCGGGTCTCTCTGGACTGCATGCTGACGCTCTAACTGCTGAGCCGAACCAGCCCGGGCTATAGAGAAGTTTTATATGAGTTTATTCGAGATAAACTGATAACATATGCCAGGGAGGAAGATCTCAAATGCTCCAGAGAATAATGGTTTTGCAGCTTCTTTTACAAACTTAAAACTAAGGAGGGAATTTGTTTTTTGTTTTTATCCTCACCCGAGGACATTTTTTTCATTTTTTGTTCAGTAGGGAGAGAAACATCCGTGAAAACATTGAGTGGCTGCCACCCACACCGAGATACGTGCCCTTAGCAGGAACTGAACCCGGGTCTCTCTGAACTGCAGGTCAACACTCTAACCACGGAGCCAAACCGACAAGGGCTAAGGAGGAAATTTAAGGAAGAATATAGGAAGGCAGGAGAAATAAGCCTCTCTTGCTTCTCAAGTGCTCTCTTGAGGGTGATTACCGTGTATTTCAAAGGTATGTTAACTAATCTAAATTCACAGAAACAATGAACCTGGCTTGCTTAAGTCAAAAAAAAAAAAAAAAAGCCAAAAAGTTGCATGAGTACCCACCATGAACTGCCCAGGTAGGAATTTATGGTCAGATCACCCTGTGAGGTTACTTTCCATAGTAACCCCTTTTTTCCCCACATAATTAAACCAAACCAAAACAAAGGTCTTCTGCACAATAACTCCCAGAGTTTACTGTGCTCAGTTCACCTGACCAGATTCCTCATCTCTGCTGGTTTCTGGAGCACTCTCCCCAATGCTGCAGCTCAGGACTCTCTGCCCTCATCCAAAGCTGCCAACACATCAAGTCATCAAGTTTATGCCTCTTGACCTAGGATAAACTGAAATTTCGCTGGTTCTGGGCCTTGCAGCAGGAAGGGGGCTTTTCCTTTTAATCATTCCTAACACAATTAACTCTTACTCCTTCTCAAAAACACGAACTTGAGTAAAGGAAAAAGAATTAATGTATAACCCTACCAAGCAGAAACACTTTTAGCGTTTTGATGAATTTCCTTTCAGTTATTTATAAACAGTTATGTTTTTTAAATAGTCTCTGGAATACTGGTGGCATTTCTTCAGAAGCTAATTTTTCACTTACATCATTATTGAGCACTTTATCCTGACATCAAATAGCCTAACAATATGTTTATTTCTGATAAAAGTTCTTCCAAGGGGCCCCAGCCAGTTTGGCTCAGCAGTTAGAGCATCAGCCCGTGGACCAAAGAGTCGTGGGTTCGATTCCAGTCAAGGGCACATATCTTGGTTGAGGTTCGGTCCCCAGCTCTGGTAGGGGTATACAGGAAGCAACCAGCCAATGAGTTTCTTTCTCTCACCCTCCCACTCTATCTGAAGATAAATGGAAAAATATCCTCAGGTGAAGATTTTAAAAAAAAGTTCTTCCAAGAGTCAGCTAGTGTGGCTCAGTGGTTGAGCATCAACCTATGCACTGAGAGATAAGGGTTCAATCCCTGGTCAGGGCACATGCCAGGGTTGCCAGATCCATCCCCAGCAGGGGGCATGCAGGAGGCAGCTGATCAATGTTTCTCTTTCACATCAATGCTTCTCTCTCTCTCTAAAAAAATCAATAAAAACGTCAAAAAAAAGTTTTTCCAAGGAATACACAGCCCCACATTTTCTTTAGGCGGTCCCTTTGGACACTTGAATAGTTTACCTTTTTCTTTTTCTGTCTTAAACAACAGAAATTTATTGTCTCACAGTTGTAAAGGCTGGAAGTCTAAGATCAATTTGTCAGCAGGGTTGAGTTCTCCTAAGGCCTCTCTCCTTGGCTTGCAGATGGCCACCTTCTTGCTCTGTCCTCACGCGGCCTTTCCTCTGTGCATGTTAGTTTACCATTTTTGACCAACATAAACGAAGCGACGGTTGGATCTTGCCAACTGCCTTTCTCAGGCCGGGGGTACACAAGCCTTGGCGCAGGAAGGGGTCACGGTTCCCCAGCTGGAACTCAGACAGGGTGCAAGCCACAAGCCCGGCTCTGTGACGTCAAACCTAGGCCCCGCCTCCTCAGGCGGGGCCAATCGCAACCCGGAGTGGGGCTCCCCGAGGCGCGCGCGTGCGCGGGCCGGTGGCCACCGCGGCACGATGGACCTGGCCCTTTCCAATGGCCAGACTCTGGCCCAGCCGCCGTCGCCGGACTTGTGGCCGCCGGTGAGCTCGGAGGAGGAGCTCTCCGATTGTCTCGATTACTACTACCTGCGCGACTTCCCGGCTTGTGGGGCCGGACACAGCAAGGGCAGGACGCGGCGCGAGCGGGAACTGCGCACCAACCGGCCGGTGCCTGGAGGCCACGAGCGCAAAATCGCACAGAAGCTCGTCAACGGCCAGCGCAAGCGTCGCCAGCGCAAGCTGCAGCCCCGGCCGCGCACCCGCCTCGCCTGTGCGCTGGTGCGTACGGGCCACGACCGCTCAGGGCCCCGGGAGCGCCCCGGGCCACTTCCGTTGGTCCCCTACGACTCGACCCGGGCAGAGTCGCCCCTTCTGAGGCTGTCCCGCCTTAGCGAGTCGCAGGTGGACCCCCTTAGCCCTCAGCTTATCTCCTGACTGCGGTTGGAATGGTGGAAGGGGCTAGGAAACAGAACATCATTTTAAAAAATCCTTTCAGTGCTGATGCTCCGGCTAAAGAAAATAACAGATTTTTGTTTTTGTCTGATTTTTCTACAGGATACCGAAGGACCTGATAAAAAAAAGTCTTTTCTCTGACTCCAGCTGTAACTGTGGTCTTAAGGGGGAGAGAATCCATGTCGGTCAACAGAATTTGGTTTTGACATGGCTTAAGTTTACTGCTTCACTATCTTTTCCTTACTGGTTGTTAGCTAAGTAAGATCCAAGTGGATATGCCTTTTTAGGGATTTTAATTAAAACAGAGCAGCAGCAAGAGTGGCATTTTAACTTATGTGGTTCTTTTTTTAGTTGTTATGGTAACTCGTTTTAAGTCTACAAATATTTGCGTTCTGCATAAAGAAAAGGTCACAGATGAATGGGGGAGGAGAACAAAGATAGGAATTAGCACAGGATGTCAACAAAAGTGTCAGACTACTCTGCAGGTTTAATATTTGTTTTCCAAGAAAGGAGTCCTTTAAATTGTGTCTGTTGAATCTAGTTGCTAAGTTCTCTGCACTACAGATCCCACAACAATCATTTGAGGTAGATACTGTTACCTCCATTTTATAGAGGGGATTCTTGAGGCTCAGAGAGTTTACATAACTTTCCAAAGGCACACAACTGGTTAGAAAGAAGATGGGCTTAACAGATACTTTTATAAAGTATTTACTCCTTCCAGGATCACAGTTTTCCTCAACTGTACACAATGTTCTTTGGTTCAGAACCACCCACAAACTCCAGGTCCAACAATAAGAGCTGAGTTTTAGTTTTAAAATTATGCAGAATATGGCAGGGTAGCTTTCCTTTATCTTCAGTCTGCATCCAGTCGGGCCTCTGCACCCAGTGGTGAGTCCTTGATTAGGAGAGAAAGGTGTGTACTGGAAGGAGCAACCTTAGTATTAATCCAAGCTGTGACTGTTCATCATTCTGGCAGCAAACTTATGAATGGCAACTACTTCCAAGTTCCACTAAGCCTCAGGTTTCTCATTTGTAAAATGGGAATAATATTGGATTACCTTGCCAAACTGGGTTATAGATAAAATATATGAAACACCCAACACAGTTAAGGACCTGAAACATAGTAGGTGCTCAATAAATGAAAACTATTTTTAAGTTTACAGAATATAATCCCTCCTCCTTCCTCTATGGTCACAAAGTTTTACATTATTTCACTCACATTAATTCTTTTAAAATATGTCCAACATCATACAGTGTGGTATGATAGCAGTCCTGGCTTTGGAGTTAAATGGTACTGACTTGGGCAAGTTGCTTAAACTCTAGACTAATCTACCTGATGACCATTTTAATCATATAAAACCCTCAACCTTATAGGATAGCCTAGATTTCTTATATTGTGCTGGAAGTAATCTGAATTTTCTTAAATTTTGACCCACAACTTCCAAAAACAATGATTCTTGACACAGATTTTCTGCCCTCTAAACTCACCAGAATTCTGTTTCTTGATTTGAATTTGTGCTATCCTATTTAGCATGCCCTTCCTCCCTTTACAATTTTAATCCTGAAACTAATTCCATCTATACTTAAATGCCACTTTCTTCCTAAAGCTTTCATCCACATCGAATGTCAATTTTTTGAAATCTTATAGAACTCACATAAGCACTATTTAACTACTTGTTCATATAGTATTTTGTATTTTTAGCTGAATAGTTAAAAACCATATGTGTAAATTCTTTTATGTCTGATAGGTACAAGGCACTATATGTCATAGTTATAAAAAAACTACATTTAGAGACTAAGAATCTCAATTTTTCAAAGATCTCAGTTCCTACACAATTCCTGCTGTAAAGTACAGCATACCCAGACATAAGCCATGTTAAAGCAACACTTTAGTGTGCTCTAACTAGACTTTGCTCATTTTAGATATTAGAACGTTTACAATTAAATATAGTAACTGTAGAGATTGTGTATTAATTACTTACTGTTATGTAATAAATTACTCGAAAACCTAGTGGCTTAAAAGAACAAATATTTATCTCAGTTTCTGTGGGTCAAAGATTCAAAGTGACTTAACTGGGTGGTTCTAGGTCAGCGTTTCATGAGGCTGCAGTGAAGCTGTTGACTGAATCCAGTCATGGGAAGGCTGCTTCCAAAGTGGCTTGCTCATGTGGCTGCTGGCAGGCCTCACTTCCTTGCCACATGAGACTCTATTAGGCTGCTTGAGTGTCCTCATGAAGTGACAGCTGGCTCTCCCCAGAGTAAGTGATCTGAGAGAGTGAACAAAGATGAAGCCACAGTACCTTTTAAGACCTAGTCTCTGAAGTTGCACACCATCACTTTTCACTTTTGCTTTTTTCTATCCATTCAGAGTGAATACCTAAATCCAGCTCACACTCAAGGGGAGAGGAATCAGGCTCCACCTTTTGAAAGGAGTGTCAATCTGTGGGCATTTTAAACCACCATGGTGTGTTTAATGTAAGTGTATTCATTGAAGAAAATATGGACAAAAAAAGGAAAAAACTACTATCCAATGGATAACATCACTCCTTGGGTATATATAATGCCAGTCTTTAAAATACATAAATTTTTGCCCTGGCCAGTTTGGCTCAGCGGTTAGAGCATTGGCCTGTGGTCCAGAGAGACCTGGGTTTGGTTCCCACTAAGGGCACGTACCTCAGTTGCAGTTTGTCCCCGGCCCTGGTTGGGTTGTGCGGATGTCAACCACTCAATGTATCCCTTTCACGTCGATGTTTCTCTCTCTCTCTCCTGCTCCCACTCTATCTGAACAAAATATGGAAAAATGTCCTCGGGTGAAGATAAAAAAATAAATAAAATACATATTCTCAAAATATAAACATACTATGTATAATATTTTATAAACTGCTCTTTCATTTATATATTGTGAAGATACCTTTCATGTCATATCTTCATAACATTTTAAATGGCTGCATAACTTAAATTAATTCTATATTGTACAACGCTTAGGTTGTTTACAGGTTTTTCCTATCTTACATATTTTGTTAAACATCCTTATAACTAATTTCACATACATTACTGTTTTTCTTTTCTTTTTTTTCATGGCTGTTTCTTACATTCCCAGACATGGAATTTTTGAAACTGTTTGCACTTTATTTTTTATTTATTGATTTTTTTTTTTTTAGAGAGAGGAAGGGAGAGGGAGGGAGATAGAAACATCGATGAGAGCCCTGGCCGGTTTGGCTCAGCAGTTAGAGCATCAACCCGCAGACCGAAGGGTCTTGAGATTGAATCCTAGTCAAGGGCACATACCTGGGTTGCAGGTACCATCCCTGGCCCCGGTCAGGGCCATGGGAGAGGCAACCCACATGGATGTGTCTCTCTCACATTGACATTTCTCTCTTCCTCCCTTCCACTCTTATCTAAAAATCAATGGGAAAATATCCTCGGGTGAGGATAAAAAAACAAACTAGTTCTAATTAACTTTTTACATGTTTTTGTTGTTGAATAGAGTGAATATATTAACTGTTTCAAAATCCAAAAGATAGAAAACATTATCAGTAAAAGTCCCACTCCGTGTGCCACAGCTACCTAGTCCTACTGCCTGAAAGCAAGCAGTATTACTAGTTGCAGATATTTTATGCATATGTAATATGGTCTTTTCTATTTTACACAAACAATAGCACACTATACTCAATTCTGACCCTTGCTTTTTTCCCCCTGATAGTTTATCTTGGAAATCATTCCACATTGATAGAAAAGCTTTCTTCTTTTTTATTGTGAATGTGCCATGATGTTTTTACACCAGAATTGTACTATCAGGATATTAGATTGTTTCCAATCTTTTTCTATCACAAAATAATCTTGTACAAACAACCTAATATTCTCTCTTCAATTTAGGAATTAATGCTTAGTCAAGAATGATTAAAACTGTCTCTGTTCTGGTCTGGATGCCCGCCTGTCTTGATTGTCCAAAGTTTTCTATTGAAGATCTTGTGCCATGCCCTGGCTGTTTTGGCTCAGCAGTTAGAGTGTCACCCTGCGGTCCACAGAGCTCCGGGTTCAGTTCCTGCTAAGGGCACGTACCTCGGTTGCAGTTTGTCCCTGGCCCTGGTTTGGGTCCTGTGGGAGGCAGCCACTTGATGTGTCCCTTTCATACTAATGTTTCTCTCTCTCTCTCTCACTCTCTCCTTCCCACTCTATCTGAACAAAAAATGGAAAAATGTCCTCGGGTGAGGATTAAAAAAAAAAGATCTTGTGCCATGGTGACCTTTATAAGGTTCCTTTTCTGTGTCTCTACTTATGAATTATCCAAAGGCAGGTACAAAATCTTATCATTTATAAAGCTTTAATTTTTTATTTTATCTTATTAATTTTTTTTTTATTATAGATGTCCCTCCTTTTTCCCCTATTGACATCCTCCCCACTCCTGTTCCCACCCCCCACATTCACAGTATTGGTGTCTGTGTCCATTGGTTATTCATATATGTATATAAGTTCTTCGGTTTATCTCTTCCCACTCTCTCACCCCCCTGCCTCTGAGGTTTGTCAGTCTGTTCCCTACTTCCATGTCTCTGAGTCTATTTTGTTCATTATGTTCCACAAGTGAGATCATGTGATATATGTCTTTCTCTGATTGGCTTTTTTCACTTAGCATAATACTATTCAGGTCCCTCCATGTTGTCTCAAAGGGTAAGAGATCTTTCTTCCTTAATATCTGCATAGTATTCCACTGTGTATATGTACCACAGCTTTTTTATCCACTCATCTACTGATGGACACTTGGGCTGTTTCCAGATCTTAGCTATAAATAGTGCTATTATGAACATAGGGGTGCATATATTCTTTCTACTTGGTGTTTCAGGCATCTTAGGACATATTCCTAGAAGTGGAATTACTGAGTCAAATGGCAGCTCAATTTTTAATTTTTTGAGGAAACTCCATACTGTTTTCCATAGTGGCTGCACCAGTCTGCATTCCCACCAGCAGTGTACTAGAGTCCCCTTTTCTCCACATCCTTGCCAGCACTTGTTTGAGGATTTGTTGATGACAGTCATTCTGGCAGGTGTGAGATAACATCTCATAGCGTTTTTATTTTCTTTTTTCTTTATTGATTTTTAGAGAGAGGGGAAGGGAGAAGGAGAGAGAGATAGAAACATCAATGAGAGAGAACATTGACTGGCCGTCTTCTGCATGTCCCCCACTGGGGATCAGGCCTACAACCTGGGCATGTGCCCTGACCAGGAGTCAAACTGGCGACCTCTGGGTGCATGGGTTGATGCTCAAACACTGAGCCACACCGGCAGGGCCCTCATAGTCATTTTCATTTGCATCTCTCTGATGATTAGTGATGTTGAGCATTTTTCATATGTCTCTTGGCCATTTGTATGTCCTGTTTGGAGAGGTGTCTATTCAGGTCCTCTGCCCATTTTTTAATTGGATTCTTTGTCTTCCTTTTGTTGAGTTGTACGAGTACTTTATATATTTTGGAAATTAACCCCTCATCCAATGTATCATTGGCAATTATGTTCTTCTATACAGTTAGTTCCCTTTTCTTTTTTTTTTTAAATCCTCACCCGAGGATATTTTTCTATTTATCTTCAGATAGAGTGAGAAGAAGGGAGGGAGGGAGGGAGGGGGAGGGAGAGAGAGAGAGAAAGAAAGGAGAGAAACACTGATGCGAGAGAGATCGATTGGTTGCCTCCCACACAACCTGGACCAGGGCCAGGACCAAACCACAACCAAGGTACATGCCCTTGACTGGAATTGAACCTATGGTTCTCTGGTCCGCAGGCCAATGACGCTCCAACCACTAAACCAAACCGGCCAGGGCTCCCTTTTCATTTTGATGCTAGTTTCTTTTGTTGTGCGTACACTTTTTAGTTTGACGTAGAAAGCTTTGATTTAATAAGTCCTATGAAAATAAAACTTTGTTTTTCATGAAAGGTTTTGCATTTACCCTTCCATTCCACAACATCCTGCTGTTTCTGGAAAGGTTGTATTAAACTCTGCTACCTCTAGTGGAAGCGGGAAATTTCTGATGGCATCCAAGTAGAAATGGATGTTCTACCTCTGTTTTCTCTCCTCCAAAAATCCCACCCCATCCCCAAAGGCTTTCCCAGGAAGCCCACCATAAAATGCCACTAGTCAACTTTCCTCCTACTGAAGAATCTCTAAAATGCTATTAATAAAAGCATTTCACACCAACTATCACTAAAGCACAGACCTTTGGGGCCTTGGCAATTGCTGTTCCCTTTACCTGGAATGCTCTTACCCTTGGTAAGCAAATGGCTTACTTCACTACAAGGACTGTGTTCAAATGCTTGCCTCCTCAAAGAATCCTGTCCTCCTCCAACCTAAGTATCTCCCTTACCCTGCTTTTGTTTCCTGTCACCACTACCTGAACTATATTGGCATTGGTGTCTCCCCTCCCTGAATTTAAACTACATGAAGGTATAGTCTTGTTTTATTTGGTGCTGTATCTCAACTTAGCTAGCACTTGTAGATCATTCAGAACATTTTTGTTTATCAGTGAATACTATTGTAATTATGGGCACAAATTCTATAACATATATGAAATGACTGAAAATGTAGAGTAACACATAAGTGTAAGACTGTCTCTAACTTTTAACTGGATCCGCAGACAAGAGAAATGCAAACAGAACCAACTTTGTTTCGTCGATTCCTGCCTAAAGATCTCATTTTCCTTCAGTTCATATTGCGTACCCACACTGTACCTCAAAAAATATTTATCCAAATAATGCAATGCTGAAAAATGTTAAGTAACTTGCCCAAGGTCCAGTGGTAGTCCCGACAGAGATCTGACTCTCAAGGTTGGATTTGACGTGCCACGTTAATAACACAAAGCCTTGAAAGAAGCAACAAAGGTCCTTGTACCCTAAATCTGCTAGCGGCTCTGACTCATGGTAGGCAGGGACGGTAACATTTGCCCCGCGACCACAAGCACTTCCGATTTTCTAAACAGTCCCGGCGCCCAGCTTCTGACGTCAACCGCATGCGACGAGACGCCGACGCGTCGCCGTGCTCTTCCAGTGACCTTCAGGACCCACGGAGACGTCAGCAAACGGAAGAGCTTTGCCTGTGCGCTGATTGGTCGCGCGCTGCCAGCCCCGCCCCCTGTTTTCCGCTCTCCTGCTCAGCAGAAGTTGTGGAGGTCTCCGAGCTTCTCTGTCGTAGACGTCGAGCCCTTGTGCAGTTGTGATGCCGCGTGGAAGCCGAAGCCGCACCTCCCGTATGGCCCCTCCGGCCAGGTGAGGCCACAGCGGGGTTTGGGGCCCTGTCGGCACCGTGACGCAGAGGGAGGCCGCGCTAGGCGGAGGCGCGGCCGGGCGGAGGTTGGCGGAGGCCGTGACGAGGGCGTTTGAAGGCCGATGCGGCTTGGGCCCGAATCCGTTGGGCGCAAGCTGGTTGTAAATGGGCTTTGGCTAGGTTTTCCTTTAGTGGCAAATTTTCTAATTTCGAATGCTCGTGAATTGTCTAAAATGCCCCCTAGTTAATTTTAAGTTAAAACAGCCAAGTTGTAAAAAGAAGTGAAAATTTGTAAGTGTAAACAGGCTGAAACGTCAAAGTAGCAAAAAAGCGTAGAATAAAGATAATATAATCGGGAAATGATCGAATTTCAATTCAGTGAATAATCTTTGAGCACTTGCCGTTAGCAGTAGGCGTTTTAGGGTCTTAGCCTAATAGAGAACACAGTAAGTAAAGTCCTCGCGTGTATATGACGTTTTCTAGTTCATAAAATACTTTTTTTTTTTTTTAATCCTCATTTGAGGACATTTTTCCATTTTTTGTTCAGATAGAGTGGGAGAGTGAGAGAAACATCGTAGTGAAAGGGACACATCAAGTGGCTGCCACCCACACAGCCCAACCAGGGCCGGGGACAAACTGCAACTGGGGTACACGCCCTTAGCGGGAACCGAACCCGGGTCTCCCTGGACCACAGGCCGACGCTCTAACCGCTGAGCCAAACTGGCCAGGGCACATAAAATACTTTTAAATAAATGTACTGCTAATTACACCTCGTGGTAACCCTAGAGATCGATGTTGTTCCTTTCTTACAGAAGGCTATGAAACAGGACACTCAATAAATGACTTGCCTGAGGTCATACCTCTAGTTAAGTAGGAAAGCCAGGTCTCAGACCCTAGTTTTCCAATGACTAATTCAAGATACTTAGCACAGTACCTATTGCTTCACTGGATTGTGTCATACAGTGTGCTGGGAGTGTAGGGAAGGGATTCATTTATGAAAAGGATCGGTAACCACATTTTTGTAAAGTGAAGTCATAAACTTTGGACCTGGCCTTATTTAGGGGAAGAGCACACAAGGAAACGATCTAAAAATGGAGAGAGGGACCATAATATACATGAAGATTTTTAAAGCAGCACCGGACATATTAGTGAAATTGTTGAAAGCATCCAAATGTAGTACAGATGGGAAATCGTTTAAATTAATTTTGGTATAACAGTTCAGGCAAGCCACTTCCAGTCACTGGGCTTCAGTGTTCTAATCTGTAAAATGAAGGAATTAGACTAGATTATTTACCCAGATGATTATCTGCAGGTCTTCATTCAAATGTTATCAGCTCAGGGAGACCTCACTTGACTATCCTTAAATTATTATGTCCCACCACTCTCCTCTCTCAGTATTTTTTAACACTTGTGATAAATTTCTATAAGCATATTTTAAACTCATAATCATATTTTATGATTTTTATAAAGCATTGGAATAAGATACTGTGGGCTATGTGAATATATGGAAGTAGTTTCAAAAAAGCAGGGAAAATAATTTATATTTGGTGATTTAACAAAAGGTTAAAGGATAAAAATGTAATAAAATGGTTCAGGGAATTGTGTTCTGTAAAGTTTTCTTGTGTGTATGTAGTATTTGTGTTTAACAATTTAAAATGAAAATCCTGATGTTTGTTTTAACATACAAGTTTTTTTTTTCTTAAGTTAACAATTTCAAAACCTGGTTGGAAGTGGGAACTGCATACTTTTTGTTCTTTACATTCACAGCCGGGCACCTCAGATGAGAGCTGCGCCCAGGCCAGCACCAGCAGCTCAGCCACCAGCACCAGCTGCACCATCTGCCGTTGGCTCACCTGCTGCTGCACCCCGGCAGCCAGGTCTGATGGCCCAGATGGCAACCACTGCAGCTGGTGTGGCTGTGGGCTCTGCTGTGGGCCACACGCTGGGTCATGCCATTACTGGGGGCTTTAGTGGAGGAAGTAATGCTGAGCCCGCAAGGCCTGACATCACTTACCAGGTAAGATTTTGAGTGGCATTCCCCATCGGTAGTATATTTTATGAGAAAACCTAATTATTTGTAAGTTCCTTCTGTGTAAGAACTGTCTGTAAATTTAGAATCCACAATGCAGTTAACAGAAAATGTTTTATCAAAAGTCACATTTGGCTGTTGAGTTAGTGCCTTAGGCCAACATCAGCAAGTACTGTCCAAATAGTATGTTTTCCCAAGGAGTAGAACTGTAGTAGTTCAACCTGGTTCACTGTAAAACTGCCATTTCCCCCTTATTTTAAATATTTTGTCTTGGTTACTCTTAACTAATTTAGTCTCAATCTTTGTTAAGCATTCAAAAAATCTCTTTAATAGCTCTTTGCTCTCTGATCTCCTACCTGACATTTGCCACTGCCCCTCTTTCTGAGGTATGTGAATTTTCTCCTCTGATGAGCATGGGTGTGTACTCTGTTGTATTTCTGGTATACTTGAAACTCTCATCCATCTATTTTTCTATAGTAGCCTTATTTTCGTCCTCCATGAAACTTCACTAAACCACTGGTCTTTAAATGCCCAGATAACTATTGCACTTTATTTGCATCTTTGTTCTTGAATCTTGCTGATTACAACTGGAATTTTGCTAAAGCCCATTTTCTGCCTTGAAAACACTTCACTTTCCATGTTATCAGATGGAAACTTTAATTTGCAGCTGGGTTTAGTTCTATTTCCCCAGTTATCCTCAAATATGATGGATGCTGGTTTTTGTTCAGATGTAAATTTGATTTCCTTTTTAAACATCCTGAATGTTAACACCTTTGCAGGAGCCTCAGGGAGCTCAGCCGGCATACCAGCAGCAGCAGCAGTTTGGCCCGTGCCACTATGAGATGAAACAGTTTTTGGAGTGTGCCCAGAACCAGGGTGACCTTAAACTTTGTGAGGGTTTCAGCGAGGTGCTGAAACAGTGCAGATTTGCAAATGGTAGGTAATATATCAATTCATGATTGAACTTGCATATGCTCAATTCATTTAATGGTTGTGCTCCTGAACCCTATAGAACTTAGGGAATGTGTGTTTAATAAAATATTTGACAACTTTTGTTAAAATTACTCTAAAAATAAGCTAACTTCTAACAAGGAGCTGGTCCAGAGGTTTCTAGTCATTATTTTAATCTTTTAACAGTTATGTTCTGAATCTGATTCTTCCTTAAACAGATATAGATTTGTTGTGCCAGATCTTACTGTTGCTAACTGCATGTGAGTGATCTAGACTTAAGGCTATGAATACAAAATTCTGTTTTCATCGAAGTCCAGGACTGCACATAAAGACGCTGGGGACATTTCTGGAATACTTTGGTCAATCCCGTGGCGTTCTACATGCCTCATTTGAGAGAGACAAGTTTATTAAATTCCTCACCAGAACTCTGAGATTTTGCCTTTCCAGGATGTCAGCTTGTTTTCACATAATTTCCTTCTATCCACCTAAGAATTCACCATCTATTAAAATGCTTATTTTCATTTTCCCACCTTCGTTTGGGGTAGGATATAAGAGAGAAGTTAATCTTTTCCAGGTGGTTTAACTGTTGGAAGTAAGAGAGTGCATGTCCAAGTTTATCACAATTGTGTGGGATTTTTTTAAAGGTTTTTTGTTATTGTTAGTCCTTACCCGGGGATACTTTTACATTGAATTTTAGATAGAGTGGAAAGGAGGGAGGAGAAGAGAGAGAAAAACACGTGGATTGGCCCTGGCCTGTTTGGCTCAGCAGTAGAGCGTTGGCCTGCGGACCAATGAGTCCCTGGTTTGATTCTGGCCAAGGGCATGCCTCGGTTGCAATTCATCCCCGGCCCTGGTCAGGGTCGTGCAGGAGGCAGCCAGTTGATGTGTCTATCTTTCTCTCCTACTCTATCTGAAGATAAAGAGAAAAATATCCTTGGGTGAGGATTTTAAAAAAACAAGCAGATTTGTTGCCTCTTTCAGGACCCTGACCAGGGCTGGGGATCGAACCTGAGACCCTTCTGTCCACAGGCTGACGCTCTGACTATTGAGCCAAACTGGTCAGGGCTCTCAGAATTCTTTTTTTTTTTTTAATAAGAACATTTTGTTTTATTTTTTATCCTCATCCGAGGATACTTTTCCATTTTTTGTTCAGATAGAGTGGAGGGAGAGAGAGAGAGAGAGAGAGAGAAACATCAATGTAAAAGGGACACATCGAGTGGCTGCCCCCCACACGACCCAACCAGGGCCGGGGACAAACTGCAACCGAGGTACGTGTCCTTAGTGGGAACCGAACCCAGGTCTCTCTCAACCACAGGCCGACGCTCTAACCGCTGAGCAAAACTGGCTGGCACCAGAATTCTTTAATGAAGCTACATCTAGTATCAAAGTGGCTAATTTCTACTCAGGATTCTGTCCCCAGACATGTGCCCTGTCTTTTCTCAGTTGTGGCAAAAATGCAGAGTTGAAGTTTTGTTTCCTGCAGGATGCCTTCAGTAACTTAGGAAAGAAACCCTGGGTTATTTATCTGCTTCATAATTGGGAGGGCTTCTGTTTGGTTGAGACTATACAGCAAATGCTCTTCTAAATGTACCTTTTTTGTTTGCAGGATTAGCCTAATCAAGAAGTTCGCGTTGAAGAAATGGAAAATCTTCTCTCTTGTCCAAGTTAATTTAGTATAAAGATGTAATTGATAGTGAAAGTATAAAACTTCCAGTTAACTCTATCATCAGTAGTTTCCTTGCCTCAGAATTGCAATGGAAGGGAGTGTTCTTACTGTATAGAAAGAAGTTCATTGAGATGGTATTGAGTTTGAGTCTAGGCAGATGTTTATGTGGCCTCCAGCTTTCATGATGTTACTATTTGTGAATCTATTACAATAAAGTGATTTTCTTCCAAAATGGTGTCTGGTAAGTGTAAGGTCATAAATTAAATATGGTATATGCATGCTGAACATACGTATTTTGCATAAGAACATAATTGTCTCAACATGTGTTTAAGTTTATCTAGTTTATTGTCCTGGATATGGAATTAGTATCCACCCAGAGGGTCTGGTAGAGCTCCCTGAGGAACTTTTGTAGAGAAATAGTTATGTAAGAAGTGTTCACTAGCAAACATGCTGCTCATTAAAAAGGTTCCAGGTACTATAGGCCCTTGGAGCCAATGTTCAATAAACTGAGCAGTAACAAGAAACTGTTTAAAATATTAATTGTTCTAATCAGATGAATGACAAACGGGTTCCCTGTGGCCAGGTGAGCACATGTCACTGTTCCCCTAGAATACCCAATTAGTTGGTCAGAGATGAAAACCATTCTGTTAATGCGGTAGTTCCCTTGTAGATGTTTTTCTAGTACTTAGGGCATTGTAGCTTCCTCTTCCTGACTCGGGCGAGCTACAGTTATCTTGAGATAGACTCAATTTGAGGTACACATTATTTTTAAATGAACTAAGCTGCAAACCTCAAAGAACAGAAAAAAAATTTTAATTTTTTTCTTTATTGATTTTATAGAGAGGAACGCAGAGGGAGAGAGAGACAGAAACATTGACGAGAGAGAACATCGATTGGCCGCCTTCTTTATGCTCCCCTACTGGGGAATGGGTCCACAACCTGGGCATGTGCCCTGACCAGGAATCGAACCAGCGACCTCTTGGTGCATGGGTTGACGCTCAGTGGTTACTGAGCCACACTGGCTGGGCCAGAAAATTTTATTCACTTAGGAGTTGACTTCCAGGTCTACATTAGCTCCGACACTTTTCCAACTTTCACATGTACCTTTGATAGGTTCCGTTACCTGACTGTTTCCTCCTCTAAGTTTTAGAGATCTCAATTACAAGGTGAGTGAGTTGATGAAGGAGTGAATTACTCAGTTGCTGCCTCCTGTCCTCAGTTGTGTTCTTAAGAGTGCCCTTTTTTTTTTTTTTACCAAATTCAGTTCCTGAAAGAGGCCACATACAATTTACTCCTGGCGAGTCCTCCAGCATATTCCCTCCTGGGTTCATCAGTGGGCTCTTTTGCCCATTTTCCTGGAGGCTCAGGATTTCAAAGTTCATAGTGTTAGTTGCCCCTTAGGTCCAAGGCATGAATGTGTATAGTGGGTACTCAAATAATGTTAAATTAGTGAATCAAGGGAAAATGAATCACTGATGTGAATAAAAGCAAGAGTCTGGCTGGCCTGGCCTCTCCCTGGTAGGAACCATGACTCCACAGAGAAGGGCACAGGGAATAATCCTCTAGTTGCACTGGCCTTTTGTCCTAAGGTCAAGTCTATAGCTTAGAACCAGAAAAAAAGGCTTATTGACAGTAAAAGGAGGAGACTGACGTGTTTTCATCCTTGGAGCCAAATGTTGCGTCTCAGTAAGCTGAAGACTTTATGTCTAGAGCCCATACCTTGAAGTCATTTTCAACTCCTTTCTACATAGCAGTTCAGCAAAATAGATGGTTCACATGATATAACAGAAAGAGCACTTGGGCCCATATCTGAGGTTAATCTAGGCAGTTCTCTTTTTGAGGGAGAGAGAAAGAGACATTGGTTGCCTCCATGACCCTGACCAGGGCCAGGGATTGAAACAGCAACCAGGTATGTGCCCTTGAGTGGGAATAAAAAAAACAGACTGCCCTGGCTGGTTTGGCTCAGCGGTTAGAGCGTGGGCCTGCGGTCCAGAGAGACCCGGGTTCGGTTCCTGCTAAGGGCACGTACCTCGGTTGCAGTTTGTCCCCGGCCCTGGTTGGTCGTGCGGGTGGCAGCCACTTGATGTGTCCCTTTCACGTCGATGTTTCTCTCCACCCCACCCCCACCCCCACTCTATCTGAACAAAAAATGGAAAAATGTCCTCAGGTGAGGATAAAAAAAAACAAAAAACAGACTGGTCTGCAGGCCCCCACTAACCACTGAGCAACACCTGCCAGAGCTACTCACCCTTTTTTTTTTTTTTTTAATCCTCATTCTAGGATATTTTTCCATTTATCTTCAGACAGAGTGGGAGGGAGGAAGAGAGAGAGGAGAGAAACGTCAACATGAGAGGGATACATCTAGTTGCCTCCCACAGGATCCCGACCAAGGCCAGGGATGAACCACAACCAAGGTACATGCCCTTGACAGAAATCGAACCCATGACTAATTGGTCTGTGGGCGGACGCTCCAATCGCTGAGCCAAACTGGCCAGGGCTCACCTATGTTTTAATGTTGAACAAGTCACATTCTCTCTAAAATTGACTAATACCAGAATTTTGGGGTCCAAGTAAAGTGCTTTGTAAGATGCTAGTCAAATGGTGTTTATGGGCCCTGACCGGTTTGGCTCTGGAGCGTCGGCCTGCAGACCAAAGAGTCGGGGGTTCAATTCCAGTCAAGAGCATGTACCTCAGTTGCAATTCAGTCCCCAACCCTGGTTGGGGTCGTGCGGGGGGCAATCAATCGACGTGTCTCTCTCAAATAGATATTTCTCTCTCTCTCCCTCCCACTCTATCTGAAGATAAATGGAAAAATATCCTCGGGTGAGGATTAAAAACAAAAAAAAGGTTCTTAGGGGCTCAGCTCCTGAGAAGTACATTATATTACCCCTCCTTTCATTTTGTATATTAGAATTAAGAGTTTGAGAAAAAGTGTCTTTAGAATAAGGAAGAGCAATAACCAAGTGTGCTAGCATGTTGCAAACATTATTTCCAATTCTGTCAGCCTCATAAGGTAGAATCCTGTTGATGCTCACTCAAAGAGCAGAGTTGCACACACAGCCCACGGGCTTCTGGCACACAGGAGTCTTCCCAGTAGACACTGCAGGCTGAAAACAAAATGGGTTAAGGATGAGACAATGGCAGATCAGAGGTCAATTCCCAAAGGGGCTGTTCCCTAACCCTTAAGGTCTGCCTTTTGTGGGGCAGCCACACCAGCAGATCCTGATGTCCAGATCCCAGCGCTAGGGTGGGTGCGCCAGGTGCTCATCACAGCAAACAGAAACTGCCCCCAGAGAAGCAGGTTGGCTTTAGAGCCTCGGCCTGGAGGCCAAGTGAGCTCCAGAGGAAGATCGGTCACCTCATGCTGTCCTGCCTGGTCCCGGGTCACCCGAACTTCCCTTACCCTCCGCCAGAGGTCACCCCGGCAACACTTGGCTCTGTGGGCTGTCCCTGCTGAGCCTTGGCCGGCCTCCCGGGTTTGCAGTTGTGATTTATTTTTGGCATCTCAGCCTTCCCTCATCAAGTGGCAAAGCACGAAGCAGAGCAGCAAAATCTCCTCCTCCGGTCAGAGTGTCTGCCTGGGACACACTTCAGCCCTCTTGTCCCCTCTCCCCAAGGGGCTCTGGGACCTCTGAGATTCCTGTCAAGTCCACATAAGGGCCAGTGAGGACCCAACGGTGAGTAGCTGGGCCAGGGATGGACAAAAGCCTGGCTGCAGACGGGCAGCAGGGAGGCTGTGGGGCCAGAAGAGTGGCCGCGTTGACTCCTGAAGCCCCTTCCAGGGACTTTATCTATGGAAAGCGGGTCCCTGTGACTGTTTTCAGACTGAGTTTGGCAGGGGGGGGATGTTATGTTCCAGAAAGGACTAAGCCCATTTGATAACCCTTTTCAAAGGGGTCTTGGGAAGAGTGGGTGGGTTGCAGGTGGGGGCAGAGAACAGAGGCGCAAAGTCAGCCCCAAGTTAGGCACAGAGCAAAGGGGAGGCCAGAGAAGAGAAACCTCCCCTACCTCACCCTAGAGAGATGAATGCAGTCATAGCTAACTGAACCTGGCCATGCCATGAAATGGATCCCCAGCCAGGATGGCATCTGGGGTCTGTGGAGGGCTGGGGGAAGGGAAAGTCCTGGTGCCACCCAGTGTTGGGAACTTAAAAGGACCTGCCAGGAAATGAACTTGGTGTTACAGGGAACAGACTCTCCTGTGCTCAGCCGAGGTTGCTGACAGGGCAGAAGCAGCCCGCGAGCAGCTTGGTGCCCGCTGCTGGCAGAGGAGACTGTTACTCACCTTTCTGATGATAACCAGGCACCGAGTGGTGGGGACACCAGGCTTCCTGGAACAGCCGGCCCGAGGCAGCCAGGGCTGCAGCTTGGCTAGTCAGCAGATTGGCCCCGTGACAGGCCAGGCCTTGTTGGGCCCAGAAAGGGCAGTAGAAGTGGGGCTGGAACAGTTTCGGCCCTGATGAGGGGCAGCTTGTGGCCATTTTCTATCTGTTCTTCTTCCTGTCGGTGGATGACTTTCTCCGTTCTTCAAATCCTTCCTCTAAGGTCAGTACCCCGGTGGCCTTGACGTAGCTGAAGCAAAGCTGGCCCGCTCAGCTCCTGTGTCCGGCCCTGAGTGTCTAACTCTGTACCGCCCCACACTGTGGCAAGACCACTCGGGGCTCACGGGCCATCATTAGGTAGGGCATGGGGCATTCTGCCAACAGGACCTTGGACCAAAGTGATGCCTCCAACCATCAGCTCACATCTAGGGAGCAGCCCCTGCTACATGCCTGCACTGAACACAGAGGAACGGGATGGCTGGGGCGGGGACATCCTAGAGAAGGTCACAGTTTAATGAGGGACATGACAGCACACACTGACAAGTGATATCAGAAGCTGGGGCCAGGATCCCCCATCAAGCTCTGCCTCCCTCAGAGTACCTGGCACAGTGCTTCATAAGGAGTATCAAAGAATGAATGAAAGCATGATTATGAAAGTCTGGGTTAAGGACAAGAGTGAGGAAGGAGCAGGGGGAAAGTCAGAAAGCATGTTCTAAAAGAAGCGTGTTTCAGGGTCGGACAGCTAGGACTGGGGCAGATAAGGAGAGGCTGTAAGAGCAGCATAGTTAGAAGATGAAAGTGTGCAACTTCTCACCTTCTCCACAAGCGCAGAGAAAAAACAGGACCAGCCTCATCTCAGAAAAGAAAGGAAATGGCACTTTAATTTGTCCTCTGAAGAGTTTCTGTGTTCT